AACAGGGCATATATCAGATGCTAAATCTTCACAAGTTTCGGAAGAATTCGAAAGATTCAAAAGAAAATTTGCTAAAAATAAATTTTTTTAAATAAAAAAAAAAGTATTTTTTAAATTTATTTATTATAGTTTGTTTATCAGAAGAAGACATATTTTCCATCTTTGAAATGATATATTTCATTGCTTTCATCAAGTAGCCATTCATTTCTTCTCCCTGTTCATTAAATTATAAAAAAAAGATAATTAATTTCTATTTGTTTTTATTGAATATTTACAATTTTCTGAACTTACTTCATTCAGTTGTAAGTGGCTATATACTGCCAAAAGATGATCCAGTGCATAATTCATTGTATTTTTTAGAAACTGGATACAGTAAAATGAACTAATACTTCCAAAACCGTTGATTCTAATGGGCTGATCGAGGAAGAATTCTTGTAATTGGAAAGGTTTGTAGAACCAACGAAGTAAATTTACAGCAGAATTCGCTCCTATGTAATTGGCTAGAATTCTAGAAAATTATTGCTAAATTGCTTGTTTAATAAATTTAAAAACGTAGATTACATCGAATAAACTTTATAATAGAGAGGTTGCGGCCGAAGTTTTCATCTCTCAAACGTGAACGTCGAACGTCGAGCGCCGCAATCTTGTAAGCGGCGCTCGACGTTCGACGTTCACGTTTGAGAGATGAAAACTTCGGCCGGAACCTGTCTATTATTTAAGAATTAAACTAGATTTTCTTACTTACCGCTTACTAAAAGTTCTATTGAGAAGTATTTCGTTCATATTAATAAAATATTCTTTATCTTCTAACATAACAATCTCGTCATCATTTATCGAAATATTTGAATATTTAAAAGTGGAATTAGTGATAACGTGTATCAGTTTTATCCAATTGATCTATAAAGCATTAACTCTTTATTTACATTTATAAGTTTCATTTAAAGTAATAATTTTAAACAACTTACCGAAGGTAATAAACTGTGTAATTCTCTTAATGTTAACTTTTCGCTTTGATTATCCGTTTTTGGCTAATCAAAACGATAAATATAAGATATAAATCATAATAAAAATTATTATTAAAATGAATAGAATTTAAATATTTAATCTCACATAATTAATTATTCTATCCAGAAGTTTAATACGTCTTATCTGGGTTTGTAGTTGGATGTTGTCCTTAGCACCAACACCAATGGCTAGTTCTTTCACGGCTTTAAGGTAATTGATAGAAGATATATCGATGGAATTTTCGGGTTTCTTTATCTGATTAGGAAAGAGGAACGTAAATTATACAACAATAAGATAATAATTTTTACCTTTCTGGCTTTTATAACATAATACATTAGTAGGCCTTCGTTATATCGTGGATTCGGATATATCTCCCTTTTTCTTAGTCTCCCGATATAACTAGGGGCTACTGTATTGTAATCGTGTCACATTTGACCCTCCGGATTTCTGAAATCTCCATGTTCTGAGACCTCTGAATCCAAAAAGCTAATGTATATATGTATATGTGTGTTGGCGTATGTCATTTAATTTTTTAGGATGGGATAAAGATTAAGAAACGAAATTTAGCACGATAACTTATATATAAGGGGTATTTATGCTATTAAATTTTGGAAAACAGAAAGCAAGGGAGTGGGAAGATAGACGAGGGAGTCATGTGTCGTATCTAGAGTGGACTTAGTGTGCGACTTTTACTCGTTATTGACATTTAAAATATTTTTTAAAAACTCTTCTCTACCTTCAAAATTAAACCTTTTTTACCATTTTGTAATGATTAATAATATAAAAGTTATTTTTAATAATATATCCTAACGGATGGATCCACATAAAATTTTAACTTTCAGCTAGTGTCATAGTGTTATTTTTATCATAAGTTTTTGTTATTAATTAAATTTTATATCATAGTAGACCATAACTGAAAATTATCGGACTTCCTAATGGCCTGTTCGAGTGCCGGAAAAGTCGCGCCCTTGCCAGTTTTTTTTTAATCTTACCTTTAGGATGTTTTTTTGACTATTGTTGTCGTCCAATTGAGTCGAAACAGAAATAAATAAACTGATTCCGGCCATGTTGGCAGCTTTTCCTATAGAGTAAATCCAATCAAAATAGAGTCCGTCCCATTGTTCTTCGATCAAAGGCCATCCTCCGAGATCGCGAAGAAACGTTCTCAACCAGTACAGGTGTCCTTCGTCCAATTTATCTACGTACAAAAAAAAAATGATATTTTTAGTCGTGGCGTAAACTTTAAAAACAATATTTTATTTATATATTTACCGAAAACTTTACAATTCCTATAAAATGTTAACAGGTTCCTCGAAGATCTAGATCTTATGGAATTTCTATTAACGGTCTCCAGCATCTCTGAAATTATTTTATCAATGTAAACCATCGATATAAAGAATTAATTCTATATATAGAATGTCTAGCACCTCTAATTTCTTTGTCTAAAGTTAACTGAGTTTTTTCTACATTCGGAATGAATGTAGGTCTTGTATGATTCCAAACAGGGCATATATCAGATGCTAAATCTTCACAAGTTTCGGAAGAATTCGAAAGATTCAAAAGAAAATTTGCTAAAAATAAATTTTTTTTAATAAAAAAAAGTATTTTTTAAATTTATTTATTATATAAAACGAAGAAAAAACTTACCTACTTTCACGCACACTTCCGATATACAGACATCAGTTTCATTAGATTTTTGTTGGTTAGTTACTAAATTTAATTTATTAAAAAAAATAAATTAATGTTTAAATATATAAATAATAGCTTATATAATATGATTTTAAACGCTTACAATTTCCAACAATTATAAGATAAAGCAAAACAGAGAGAATGAAAAGTATTAACAAAAGTATTATGACGATTACAATTAACTTCCCTTCCTGTCTTGAATTAAGCCTTAAAATTCTAAAATAAAAAAATTAATTAATTAATTAACAAATTGCCAAGTTCATTAACAAGTTAAATTCATAAAAAGAATAAAGCGGCATTACCTTGGCATGTCAATTTTTAGTTCTTCCTCTACATTAACTAATCTAAATATTAATAGAAAGTCGTTTTAACGTAAAGAAACTTAACCTTACTCTATTTAAATATAATTAAACTTACGTCATAGTAATTACTCATTTTTATTACTAATACTAATTACTAATTTTAATTAAAAATAAATTATTTTCTATAGTTAATTAATTAGGAATTTAAATAAGCGAAGAGATGCAGATGATTTACTTACAGTTGTTTTCAGACTGCTGAATGCACTAGGTTTGACTGTGTTTAAAAATAGTCACTTCGGTTTATTCGAGCTGGCAGATTGTTTAAAACAGTAAAATATATATTATCGATTTTTAAATTTAAATTAAATTAAATTATTACAGTTAATAATTTACTTACACGATAATAATAATAATTATTATTAATGGATAAATATTTGTTTTATAAATTTGTAATGAATTTTCTTTAAAATATTTAACTATTTTTTCGTTAATTTTTACAAATGTTTATGTGTAAATAACATATATATTTTTTTAAAGTAGAATCTAAAATCAGTCAAGGATTTTTTTGGAGTAAGAATGGAGGATTTGATGCCTTTCCAGGTTAATGAGGTTAATGCATTCTGTAGGAAAATACACTTATAAAAAAAAGGATTAAGATTTTTTGAAAGATTTTAGAATTTTAGAATGCGTATAACGAAGCTTTCTGTTAATAATTACATTTGTAATGCTTCTATATCAACCGCTGTATGGTTAATCTGGTTAATTAAATGCATAAAGAAGAAAAGTTATGAGTTTTTTCATGCTGTGACATAATTAACTACAAATTAAATTTCAATACCAAGACCTAAATAAGGCAAAGAGTTTAATAGGTAATGTCTTAGTTAATGATCTGCATCAGTTGAAAGATTCAGTTACGATCAGGTGGTCCGCTCGTGTCTTCGTGTAACACGAAACGTTACGTTATATTTACGATTAAACAGTTTAAAATAACAATTCCTTAAAGATAATTTACACATTAATACATAATTAGCGTAGAAAAAAAGGCTCAATAAATCATTCTACCTTCAATTAAATGCTGTTGACGGTGCTGAATTTGGTCTTTTAATGGTTACGTGTATACAGTTTACCGGTTTTAGTACCATCACTTTTATTAATGTAATAAATACTATTATCTGAACACAATCACGGTCAGTCAAGCCCAAAGAATGACTTTATTCGAACCATAGCAATTCGGTCCAGTACACTTGGTTAGTCTCTTGTCCTTTGGTCCATTCGGAGTCAAGTACAAAGAAACAGTTACAGTAAGGTTAAAGATTAGTGTACATTACTGATTGCTCTCCTGTATCCTCCAACTTCTTTATGAAACCAGCCGGATAACATATATTAATTTAAGTCTCGAATTTTATGAATTATATCCTTGTACAAATGATAGAAAATCATGGGAAATTTTGGAGGTAAAATTTTTAAAATTTTTACTAAAATATAAAGTTTGAATTATTTTCTTAATTAATTAATTAATTAATTAACAAATTAATTAATTAATTAACAAATTGCCAAGTTCATTAACAAGTTAAATTCATAAAAAGAATAAAGCGGCATTACCTTGGCATGTCAATTTTTAGTTCTTCCTCTACATTAACTAATCTAAATATTAATAGAAAGTCGTTTTAACGTAAAGAAACTTAACCTTACTCTATTTAAATATAATTAAACTTACGTCATAGTAATTACTCATTTTTATTACTAATACTAATTACTAATTTTAATTAAAAATAAATTATTTTCTATAGTTAATTAATTAGGAATTTAAATAAGCGAAGAGATGCAGATGATTTACTTACAGTTGTTTTCAGACTGCTGAATGCACTAGGTTTGACTGTGTTTAAAAATAGTCACTTCGGTTTATTCGAGCTGGCAGATTGTTTAAAACAGTAAAATATATATTATCGATTTTTAAATTTAAATTAAATTAAATTATTACACTTCTAACATAACAATCTCGTCATCATTTATCGAAATATTTGAATATTTAAAAGTGGAATTTGTGATAACGTGTATCAGTTTTATCCAATTGATCTATAAAGCATTAACTCTTTATTTACATTTATAAGTTTCATTTAAAGTAATAATTTTAAACAACTTACCGAAGGTAATAAACTGTGTAATTCTCTTAATGTTAACTTTTCGCTTTGATTATCCGTTTTTGGCTAATCAAAACGATAAATATAAGATATAAATCATAATAAAAATCATTATTAAAATGAATAGAATTTAAATATTTAATCTCACATAATTAATTATTCTATCCAGAAGTTTAATACGTCTTATCTGGGTTTGTAGTTGGATGTTGTCCTTAGCACCAACACTAATGGCTAGTTCTTTCACGGCTTTAAGGTAATTGATAGAAGATACATCGATGGAATTTTCGGGTTTCTTTATCTGATTAGGAAAGAGGAACGTAAATTATACAACAATAAGATAATAATTTTTACCTTTCTGGCTTTTATAACATAATACATTAGTAGGCCTTCGTTATATCGTGGATTCGGATATATCTCCCTTTTTCTTAGTCTCCCGATATAACTAGGGGCTACTGTATTGTAATCGTGTCACATTTGACCCTCCGGATTTCTGAAATCTCCATGTTCTGAGACCTCTGAATCCAAAAAGCTAATGTATATATGTATATGTGTGTTGGCGTATGTCATTTAATTTTTTAGGATGGGATAAAGATTAAGAAACGAAATTTAGCACGATAACTTATATATAAGGGGTATTTATGCTATTAAATTTTGGAAAACAGAAAGCAAGGGAGTGGGAAGATAGACGAGGGAGTCATGTGTCGTATCTAGAGTGGACTTAGTGTGNATATTATAATGTACTGAAAATGTACTAAAAATCTAAATGTACTTTCAATTTACTGGAAAGGGCAAAATGTACCAGAAAAGTACAAATGTACTAGGAACGACAACACTGGTCTAGAACATTACAGTCATTCTAACAATGCTACATACCTCAGCTAAACGAACATATAAAATTTCATTAACAGAAGCTAACAGAATATTACTCTACCCCTTTTCCCAATCTGTGTGCAAGATGTAAGATTGGCCTCGCATTTCTTACGCGCTCCATGTATTGATCCGAAGAGTATTAAACCAACGATTTGAGAATTTTCTTATCAAAATGTTCAATTTGGTGATAAAGTTTAACATTTAAGAAGTATAGACTTAACCCTCAAAAAGCCTCTTGGGCGCTTGGCCACTGAAGACAATTGAAATACATGGACAATCTGCAAAAAGATGGGTACCTCCCGAGAAAACTTTTTATGGAAACTGGCCTATATTAAGTGTTATATTCATAAAGAAATTCCAAGAAAACCCCATTGGCGAGGCGCAAACACACCTCTGTTTAGTAGTTTTATCCACTCATTAGTGAGCACCAATAGCAGAAGGATTTACCTGTGTTTTCTGACTATGGATTCGGTTGCCCAGAAAAAAAATTACTGTAATTAAATTGAATTGAGATAAAGCAGGCTTTTTGCTATTCTTAAAAATTTAAGCATTAAAAAAGTATTACGTAATTTATCATTAGTTATTTTTTAATTTTTAAGTATAAAATAGCAAATTATTAGCGAGGTTGCGGCCGAAGTTTTTATCTTTAAAACGTGAACGTCGAACGTCGAGCGCCACTTACAAGATAGCGGCGCTCGACGTTCGACGTTCACGTTTTAAAGATGAAAACTTCGGCCGCAACCTCTCTATTATATACTGTAAATATGAGAAACTTAATTGGAATTGTTATTTTTTAAATTGATTTACTATTATTCTTTTACAGTACGCAAAAATGAAAAATAAAGTAAATAGAGAGGTTGCGGCCGAAGTTTTCAACGCGAAAACGTGTACGTCGGACGTTCAGCGCCACCTTTCTGTGAGTCTAGAAGTTTGACAATGGCGTTTAGAACGTCTGTGGAATCATGCTCGATGTTCCAAACGCCATTATCAAACTTCTAGACTTACAGGAAGGCGGCGCTGAACGTCCGACGTACACGTTTTCGCGTTGAAAACGTCGGCTGCAACCTCTCTAATAATTCAATTGGAAGGAGTATATGCAAAGCAAAGGAATCAATAGCAGCAGAAAAAAGTATGAAGTTTGAAATAGTAGCTGCTGTGGGTATTTGAATAAAACCAATAGGCCTTTTTTGAGATTTTTAAGTTAACAAAATGTATTATTGGTGTAATCTCTTTCTGGTGTGCTGCTGCTGATGATGTCCAATTGCAGCACTCTGATATACATCAAAATGAAACCTGACATCACACACCGGAAATAATCCACCAAATATTAAAAGTAGACTGAATTCAACAGTGATATTTTCATAAAATAATTCTGTAACATATGAGAATAAATATCCAAAAATAAATCTATATTAATCATAAATATGATTTTAATAACTAAATAATATTTTCAGTAATTCCTGCCGGAATTCTTCAAATGATGATGTATGAAGAAGAGTGACCTAAGTAAATAATCATCTGAAATATCTATAAAAACGTCATGTTTATTTGAATGCTTNTTAAAATATTTAACTATTTTTTCGTTAATTTTTACAAATGTTTATGTGTAAATAACATATATATTTTTTTAAAGTAGAATCTAAAATCAGTCAAGGATTTTTTTGGAGTAAGAATGGAGGATTTGATGCCTTTCCAGGTTAATGAGGTTAATGCATTCTGTAGGAAAATACACTTATAAAAAAAAGGATTAAGATTTTTTGAAAGATTTTAGAATTTTAGAATGCGTATAACGAAGCTTTCTGTTAATAATTACATTTGTAATGCTTCTATATCAACCGCTGTATGGTTAATCTGGTTAATTAAATGCATAAAGAAGAAAAGTTATGAGTTTTTTCATGCTGTGACATAATTAACTACAAATTAAATTTCAATACCAAGACCTAAATAAGGCAAAGAGTTTAATAGGTAATGTCTTAGTTAATGATCTGCATCAGTTGAAAGATTCAGTTACGATCAGGTGGTCCGCTCGTGTCTTCGTGTAACACGAAACGTTACGTTATATTTACGATTAAACAGTTTAAAATAACAATTCCTTAAAGATAATTTACACATTAATACATAATTAGCGTAGAAAAAAAGGCTCAATAAATCATTCTACCTTCAATTAAATGCTGTTGACGGTGCTGAATTTGGTCTTTTAATGGTTACGTGTATACAGTTTACCGGTTTTAGTACCATCACTTTTATTAATGTAATAAATACTATTATCTGAACACAATCACGGTCAGTCAAGCCCAAAGAATGACTTTATTCGAACCATAGCAATTCGGTCCAGTACACTTGGTTAGTCTCTTGTCCTTTGGTCCATTCGGAGTCAAGTACAAAGAAACAGTTACAGTAAGGTTAAAGATTAGTGTACATTACTGATTGCTCTCCTGTATCCTCCAACTTCTTTATGAAACCAGCCGGATAACATATATTAATTTAAGTCTCGAATTTTATGAATTATATCCTTGTACAAATGATAGAAAATCATGGGAAATTTTGGAGGTAAAATTTTTAAAATTTTTACTAAAATATAAAGTTTGAATTATTTTCTTAATTAATTAATTATCTTAAATTATTTTTACAGGGCAGAGAATGACCACAAATCGACTAACACAATTCTAATCAGTGTAATCCTCCTCACTATTTTAGCCATTCTTCTTTTAATAACTTTGATAATGCATTCGGGTTTTGGTAAGTTTTTCGCGAATTTTCGTCGTTTTAAAATTATATTTTAATTTATTTTATTGTGTATACAGGATACGAACCATTGAATATTAACAAAACATGTACATCTAGTCATTGCGTAAAATTAGGTAAGTCTTGCATGGTGCAAATTTACATTTACACAAGCCTATCGAATACAGTAATAACGAGAATTTCTACTTATTTTATTTTATTATTATTTTAAAGCTATGTCTATTATGCAATCCATGAACACATCCGCGGATCCTTGTGAAGATTTTTACAATTTTGCATGCGGTAAATGGATCGAAAGAAAGGTTAAAGAAGGGATAGAAACATCTACATTCGAGGATTTACACAAAAGCATACTTCTCAGATTTATAGGTAAATTATTTTATAATATAAAAGAACAATCATTTTACCTCGTAAATGTAAATTCAAGAAAAACTAAACACTTCCAGACTCACTGGACAATTACCGCAACGTAGATTCTTTACCACATTCATCCAAGGTGGCTCTACAAAATTACAGACTCTGCAGGAATTTCAGTGAGTGAATATGATAAAAATTCGTTTCTCATCATAAAAAATTATAAAATTTACTCGAAAATTTCTAGAAAGATTGGAAGCTCAACATTTCGATTGGTTGAAAACGTACTTGAAGCAATTCGGAGGTTGGCCAATCATCGACGAAGAGTGGAGCGAAGAAAATTATGACTGGATACAAAGTATCGCAGCTGCTACGAGAAAACTGGAAATATTTTCTATATTACCAGTTACGGTTAGTTACGACAGTAGAGATACGAGCAGGAATATTATCGTGGTGAGTAAAAATGCTATAGGTTTATATATAAAGCTGTGAAGTATGCTCAGCTGCGTGGTATTCAGATAGGGCAAAACGACGAACCAGAAAAGCTTAGTATATCACAAATGATTAACTACATCATGGCCATCGCTGTATATTTTGGTGAATTACCATATACTTTAATTATGGAAGATATAGATAAAATGCTGAAGTTAGAAACTAAATTATCATCCGTAAGTATGGAATTTTTATATATATTTTTGGAGTAATAAATAGATACAAAATTAACATTTTTTTTTTTTTCAATCATCCAGATGACCGAAGATGTCGCCTTTTTAGCTAATGATTATAAAATAATGACGATAAGGAATCTCCATGAATTGATACCTACGGTAAATATTTAATTAAATTTAACTTTTTTAACTTTGCAATCATTATTATTGTTATTTTTCTGAAGATTAATTGGCTCAAAATGGTACAAGCTATAACTAATGGTTCTTCAATTGTTATTGACGAGGATGAACCGGTCGTTATAAAGGGAATTAACTTTCTAGCCGATTTTGGTAACCTTCTAAATGATAAATCCTTTTCTTTCAGGTAAGATAGTTGATTTTTCGTTATTAAAATTGCTTAAAATGTTAACTTATGATATACTTTTCAGAAGTTTGGCTAATTTAGTGGGTGCTAAAGTCATTTTGAAGTTTCTTCTTCCGTTTCTTCTGGCATTGCAATCGTCATTACCTGTTCGTGGTTTAAACGATGATGAACATCGATTGCAGCAAGAAAGAGCCGAATTATGCATCACTGAACTAGCCGAAATTTTAACTTTTGCAGTCGACTTTATATATATTCGCTCGTTAGCGCCTCAGAAAGGTGTAAGTTTAGTTAATCAAATGAGAAATCATTTAACAAAATACCATATTCATCTGGAACCATTTCTAGGCAACCGATATCATTCCTTATCTCTTCAATGCTTTTCGTGTTATCATACGTAAATCTGATTGGTTAGATGAACAAACAAAACAATACGTAGAGACGAAAGTAAGTCCTTTATTTTTTTAATCTAGAGTTTAAATCATTGTTATACAAATTGCCTTTCCTCTACAGTTGAATGAAATGATCCCTATCGTCAATTATCCGACTTGGATACTTAACGAAACTCAATTAGATAATTTCTACGATTGTGTAAGTAATTAAAATACTATAATCATTATAATTATTAATTATTTTTCATTTTTNAAGCCTATTTGGTAATTGTATATACTTAAATTAAAAACTAACTTTTTATTAATTATAATTCATAAATTTTTAATTGATTTTTGTTATTCAACTTTTAAACAAGGGTTATCAAAAATGGGTTAAAGATAACGGAAAAGAAAAATCCCTTCCAGGTCTACAAAAATACAGTCACAAACAATTATTCTTTATATCATTTGCTCAGGTAATTTTTCAAATGAATAATTAATTTAAAACTACATTTTTAATATGTATCTTTCTTTTTTTAAATGTTTTAGTCGTTGTGTAGCAACGGTCAACATTTATTAGAAAAGATTAAAGCATTTGAAGGCACGAAAAGTACTACATTTCAATCCAGGTGAAATTTCATTAATCGAATTTTTGTTGAGAAATATTAAATTTAAAATCGATAATATAATTCATCTAATTTTAAAATTTAGGGTAATTGGTAGTTTGTCAAACATGAAAGAGTTTTCTGAAGTTTTCAATTGCAAACCAGGATCTGAAATGAATCCCGAAAATAAATGCGTCCTGTGGTAAAAGTATAGCACCAAATCAGAAAAGATTTTAAATATATTATTTTGTACCTTCTTATAAGAAATTGTCATTTAATATATTTTGTATACGAATATCCACCGACGTTTCCTAAGTTGTATTTCCTTTGCCATATTTTTCAGAAAATAATATTTATACAGAAAACGTTGTCGAAAAAATGTAATGTTTTATTTTTACGAACTGTGTTTCAAATGTATAGTAAAGTCATGTATATGGTATATATTAAGTCGAATAGTATAGGGCATTTTTAAGTCGTATGAAAATATGACTTAAAGATAAATTACAGGAGCCATCTCGTCGTGCACAGACTATTTTAGTGCAACCATTATTAAAACAAAGTTGATCGGGCAATCATGCCTACCAGTGGCCGAATGGGTAACACCATAGCACACTGGTAGTTAGTTGGTCGAAGGTTTGCGCCTCTCAATGGGCTTGTACAATGAAGTTTTCATGTGTCGCGTTGCCGTAAACAAATAAACTGAATAACAAAAGTGTATAACGACATTTCAAGGATAGAGCAAGGGGAACCTGTAGAAAGAAGAATGGAAATTGAACGAAGTTAGAAACAATTGGAAGAAGAAGCTTTGGGAAAGATTGGACAAACGCTTAGAAAATTGGGAAGAAAGTCCAATATTTTTCTTGAATATGTTCGCCAGATTCAGAAGGAACGTATAGTGACTTTCAAGAAACAAACGTCTGTTACAGAATACAAAAATAAGCAATTCGTAAATGAAAAACACCCTTCTGCAAAGCTGAAGTGATGGAATCTCGAAGGCGTCGAACAATTTTGATATGGTTATGATCGAGTCCTATTTTACTTTTGACGGAAGTGAATGTGCCAATGAAAATCACTATTTCATCAAAGAATAGCTAAACATGACGCCTGAAGTCAAATTCAAACGACACTCAAAATTTTCGCCGATGCTTCTGGTTTGGCCGGCAGCCAGTCCAAAGAAACGTTTACGAACCTTCATGCTATCAGTCATCGAAGAAATTTATGGCAACAAATGCATTCAGAAGAATCTAGTGCCCTTCTTGTNGTAAGTAATTAAAATACTATAATCATTATAATTATTAATTATTTTTCATTTTTCTAAAGTGTTTTTTCCGCTCTAGTTACCAGAAATGACCGATAATCCTTTAGAGAACTTTGCAAACCTTCACGAATATATATACAGGAAATCTATTGCTTTATTACGCAAAAGAAATATCCGGAATGGGTATATAAAAATAGAGATTTATTAATTACTTTTTTAAGTAAATGCTACTGCATTATAATAATTTTATTTTATAATAGTTGGCCCATAGCTTTGCGTAAAAGTGCCTCTACAGTCGGAGCTTTCTATGTAGTAGAAGTCAACTCTATAGGTAAGACACTTCGCTTTCCATGTATCACCCGATAAAAAATAATAAAATGTTTTCTATTAATCAACAGTTATCCCTCGTGGATTTCATAATCCACCGAATTTTCATATTAAAAATCCAAGGTAAAAAATTCCCGTTTAACACAATTGAGTAAAATCTCTTTCCTTTTTTTTTATGTTTGCTCTATATTTAATTTTAGATACATGACCTATGGTTCTATGGGTTCTGGAATTGGCCATGAAATCACTCATGCTTTTGATAATATAGGTAACCGATCGTAAATTTCTATTTTATTGTTGTTTTACAACTGTAAATGTAGCCTAAAAACTTATCTTTTTATTTTTAATCAGGGAGATTTCGAGATGATCAAGGAAGATTAAGAGATTGGTGGACAGAACATTCTAAAAATGAGTTTGCAAAACGATCGCAATGTTTTGTAGACTTTTATGGCAAATACGGTTTCTCGGATGTTTTTGTAAGTTATAATATAAATTTAAATCCATTCAATTTACCCGTTTATGGCTTATAAAATCTTTTCTTATGCAAAGGTGAATGGAAATTTGACATTGTCTGAAAATATTGCGGATGTGGGAGGACTTCGACAAGCATATATGGTATTCCAATTATGTTTAAGCATTTTTATAGTAATATATTTCTCAAACTGATTTCTAATTATTTAACAGGCTTACAAACTATGGGAAAAAGATCATGGTAAAGAAGAAAAGTTGCCTGGTTTGGAATCTTTTACAACTCACCAATTATTTTTCATATCTTACGGAATGGTAGATAATTTCCAATTTATAGGAGTTAAAAATAATTTTTATGTACTAAAACTGTACTTTTTTTTTCTCAGAACTGGTGTGATAGTAAAAACCTAAACACCCTTAAAGAATCTTTAATGCAAGATGATCATGCACCCAATAAATTTAGGTATTTTGTGAGTATAATTTATTAAAAGATACAATTAACTATTTAAATTTACAAAATATAATTTCTTTCAGAGTGCTTGGAACTCTCTCTAACATGAAAGAATTCTCACAAGTGTTTAATTGCAAGCCAAATTCCAACATGAATCCAACACAGAAGTGTGTGATTTGGTGATTGCCAAGCAAGAAGAAGAAGAAGAAATTTTTACTTTGTATAATTTATTAATGGTGTCTTTATTATAAAGATGCTATTAGTATGACCATTAGTGCAATAAAATCTATCCAACAATTATTGTAACTATGCACTAATCAAATAATTTGATTAACGCATAGTCTTATATACAAAATTATATGAGAGGGGGAGAGAATTTTACAATACACAATAGATCTAACAGTTTTTTTTCCCTTGTAAAGGTCTTTTTTTTAAGCTATTAATTAGCTTTGGTTCAGCAACTTTATGATCAGAGAATGCAAACACTTAGTCTACATCCAAAGACATGCATGACTGAATTTTGTCTTAATTTTTTTTCATGTAGTAGTAAGAAACTTATTTAAACTAATATATGTACCTTTGTATAGTTATTGTATCAATATATATATAATGTTACTAAAGTTAATTCTTTAATACAATTGAAAATAAAATTACTTTATTTGTACAATTATATCTAATTCCACAAGATACAATTCTNATTTAGATTTTTTCTCCTCTAACAGTACTGATAATAATAATAATTTTAGAAATTTATCTAATTGTTATTAAAGTTTTATATTTAATTATATAATTAGACATTCTATTTGATAATTAAATTTAACAATTATCTAATAGAAAGAATTGTACATATTTAAAAAAAAATTACATTTATTAAAAGAGAATCAATTTAATTGTTTTAAGTACAAAGAAAAAGTATTATAAAAGAATATTTATAAAGAAAATTTTACTTCTAAAACAGTTTATAGAAAAATTACATTAGCCACATGTATATTTTAGAAATTTGATTAGATGTTTTGATTAGATGGATGGGATAAGGCAACATAAGTGATCTGTCGAGAGAGCATGACTACCTGGCAACACTTTCTATGAAAAGCTTGCCCCTGTTTAGATGTTACAAATGTTAAAAAAACAGGGAAAATTCACATGGCCAGCCCGTTGGTCAGGTGCAAACCCACTAGTGTTCAATGGTTTTATCTAGCCAGAAGGATTGGCTTGGATTGATAGAAGGCAATGCAACACTTGGGCAATCTGCCAAAAAGATCTCCTAGAGAGCATCCTACCTTCCAGGAGAATGTTTTACAAAAAAACTAGCCCCTATTTAGGTGTTACACATGTAAAAAAAACTTGAAAACTTCACACAGCCTGGACGCCAACTAAGTATTCACTGATTTTATCCATTCGATCATGGTGGGCCATCGTGTATTTGGAGAATCTTACAAAGATATATTATGAACAATTATATTTCTTGCATAGAATTTTAACATGTATTATATGAAGTTATATGAATATAGTAGTGAGGTTGAGTGGTTGGGCTGACTGCCACTAACCGTTTTGCCAATTCTTCTTGATATATATTACTGCCAATTTAGATTGAAAACATATAATACAATATTTTCTTTTACTTTCAATTTGTAATGAATAAATACATACCTACAAATGTAAATTTCTTGACACTTTTCTAAAAGCAGATGCAACTGTTCATTAAAATAAATTTATAACTTAATTGACATTTTAATATGGTGTTGATTCACTTTTGATAACTTATATTTATGTCTTTTTTTTGTTAAAATTTATTTTTAAGACTAGTTATAAATTCTCTTATACATATCTGACTGCCTTATAGTAAATGCACTAAATGAAGTCATAATAAGCAAGATATTTTCTGTAATTATAAACAAGTAACCATTGTCTTGAACAAATATATAATAGAAGACTCTTTCAACTTATATTCCTTGCTGTTAAAAAGTGTCATATAACAAATGAATCATTTTTTAATCTGCGATTGTAGTTAAGAAAAAATGTTTATTCATTACATTTACATTTTAAGAATTTAATATATTAATTAATTAATTAATTATGTTGTCTACATTTGACAATTACACAAATAAAATTCTTTCTCAAAGAACTTGAAAAGACATAATGTCATATATTTTTTACACAAACATTAATTCTAGATACTGCTTTATTAATTTATATATTTTTGATTGTTATATAAAAAAGCTTTGTGAAGAAATTTTGGAAAACTTGACATCATCTTTACAAATAAATAAATCAAATCACTGGTAGTGATACTAAGTGGTACCAAATATTTTGTGAACTTTTATAAGAAGTGATTCATAATGCTAGGCAAACTACAAAAAATTTGCTTCCAGGCTTCTAAGAAGTGAAAAATAATTAAATATTCTTTAAATATNAATTTTACATTATATTTTTCATTATATTTTTCAAGTTTTTTTAGTAAAATATAGTTATCCAGTCTATAAAAAATTTAGTTCTTCAGTAAATTCTATGTAGAAAAAGGAGCTTTTCTAAAAGAATAAAATAATAAGACAATATTCAGTTTAAAAGACATCTTTATTTAAAAATATACATTATTTACAGTTAATATTAATCCTAATAATAAGTGAATACAAAATTAATTCTTTTTACTAATTTGAAGTTGACATTCTTGTTGAAACTGATCTATCAATTCCTGCTGTACATCTGGTAGAGCAGGTGAATAACGACAATACTCCATGGTAAATTCTCCCTTTCCCTCACTCGAAGATCGTAAGTCGGTAGAATATCCAAACATTTTGTTAAGTGGTACCTTTCATATGTTTTTTATAATAAGTTTATGTATATTTGATCTATCTTAAAAATTTAAAGACACTTACCTCTACCCTGATAATAGACCAGCCCTCATTGGCATCTGTACCAACTATAATTCCGTGACGTCTAGACATATGTGTCATTACTTCACCATGAAATTCTTCTGGAACTGTAATTTCTACAGACATAATTGGTTCTAAGATATGCCAAGAACCGTATTCATAAACTGCAAAAAAAGTTACAATAAGCTTCATAAACTAATATTTGACTTTTCAATAAAAAACAAATTTAAACCTCAACCACCAAAATTATCTATTTATCAAATATTCTCAGCTGTCTAAGCAACCATCTGTGGGATCCAATGGAAAAGAAATATCAATAGAATATAATAAAGAATGGAATACATATAATTTGAAATACAGAACAAGAATTCAATTTAAATATTAAATATATTAAGATCCTAATAAGAATTACAAAATAAATAAAATAAAACACAAAGAGTATGTAAATAAAAGAGTAAAAGAAACAAATAAAAACACAGTAAAATTCGTAAAACATAAACAAATAAAATATAGTTACAAGTTATATTGAGTTGTTCAGAAAGTAATTTCATTTTTTTTTACCTCTAGACGGATTAGTCGTATTTTTCCCGCCATTTTCATTTTAAACCGTATTATCATTATATATTTTGACAGCTAGCATTTTAAGACTTATTCGTAAAAAATTTTGTTTGATTTTTTGCAATTGTTTATTTTTTGTGTCCCATCAAATATGGAAGATCAAAAGCAGCATTTTCGGCATATTTTGCTCTTTTATTACCAAAAAGGTAACAATGCTGTTCAAGCAGGAAAAAAATTGTGTGATGCGTATGGAGAAGATGTATTGACAGAACAACAGTGCCAAAACTGATTTACAAAATTTCATTCTGGCAATTTCAATATTGAAGATGCACCACGTTCTGGATGGCCAGTTGAAGCCAATAAAAACAAAATAAAGGTACTGATTGAAGCAAACTGCCGAATAACATGTGAAATCACTAAGAGATTAAATTTATCAAATTGAACCGTTTATGATTACTTGAAACAAATTGGTTTCGTTTCAAAGCTTGATATATGGGTTCCACATGTTCTTAAAGAGAGATGCTCTCTTTGGTGGGATTTCAAGGAAATTTTTTTTCGGAGCTTTTACCAGACAATTTAACAATTAATTCAAAAGTGTACTGCCATTGAGTAAACAAATTGAGTAATATCATCAACCAGAAATGGCAGTCAGACTTGATCAACTATGTAGTGTTTTACCACGATAATGTCAAATTTCACACAAGTTTGGTAACTTGTCAGTAACTGTTATAACTTAGATGGGATCACACCAACCAAATTCACCAGATCAAGCACACTCAGATTATTACTTGTTCCGATCTATACAAATTTTTTTTAACTGTAAGACATTTACTTGAAATGACAATGTCAAAAATCACTTGGATCAGTTTTTTGTAAGCAACGATCAAAACTTTTATGAATATGAAATCACGCTACTACCATAAACAATGACAACAGGTATTTGACCAAAATGGTAAATATATAATTCAATAAAATATTTATTTATTATAAAAATATTTTTTTTTTTTCCACGGAAAAAAACGAAATTACTTTCCAAATAACCCAATAGCTTGGTCTCTACCAGACTTCAGAAAAAAGAAGTTAAGAATATTATTCATTAAGAAGTTAACTATATTTAAGCATGCCAAGAATAATCACTGTATAAGCCATAAAGCTGAATGCCTGCTGAATAAAGCCATAAAGATTCAGAATGCTTTTCCTCAGTATATTCCGATGTAAGTATCGTGCATAAATACAGCAGAGATATTAACTTAAATAGGGTACTCTCTTAGTAAACTACAAGCCATTTTCTTTGTATATTTGAATTTGACCTACTAGGACAGGTCAATGTTGAAAATTCAAAACAGGTAAATTTTGAGGATTGAACAGGAGATTAGATCAAAACCTGACAACAGTGAGATACTAAAACTGAATGATGTCAGATTCATCACAAGAATGCATTAATGTGTTTATAATTAATTTTGTTCACTGCAGTTTAAGAATATGATAAAGGTATCAGCGTGCCACTCTGAGGAATCAAGATTCACTGCCCAGGTTTATCTGGGGCAGATTATCCTTAAGTGGCAGATGAAAAATTTTTGAGGTTCACTGCCCAGATTACCTCAAAAATTTTTCATCTAGTCTGTCTCAAGTATGTCAAGCCCCTTCCCTCACAACCTAGTTGTTACTATTGTGGGCATAGAAAAACAATCTTCTTAGAGGCAGGTCCACAAGGTGAAAAGAAATAAAAAAATCATAGAATAATTATTGACAAACCTTGTTTAATTGCTCCTTGAACTGCAAGTGAAAATGATAAATCATTGGAATCTACTATATGATGATCTCCTAAAAAAAAGAAATAAAAACAATAATTACTAAATCTTATAAACAATTTAAGTCGATCACTAATAAAAATACATACCATCTGTCAGACGAAATTTAACACCAGCAATTTTATGACCAGATAGCAATCCTTTCTCACAGCAAGATCTGAATGACTAAATGAAATATTAATTCACATATAAGCACTACAGTTATTTATTACAAATTATGGAATTTTATGAAATTCTGAGATGATAGCATTAAATACTCTTTAATTAAAAACTGATTAAGGTAACTAATAAATAAAAAGTTTCAAATTAAACAGAAATATATCAACAATATAATTCTTAAAATAGAAACTGTGATAATAGAAATTCAGACCCTCAAGAAATCTTCACAAGCAGCAAAACCAATTTAACTACAAATGTTTTCAATCATTTTTAAAAATCATCCTCTGGTAAAAATACAAAAATCGAACTCAGCAAAAATAGAATATAATGGATAAAGTTTGAAACAGAATGCTGGTTGATTTAAATTAAAAATTAAAACAAAGGAATAAAAATACAAATAAATATGAAAGTAAACGAAGAAAAATAAATAAAAAATAAAAATTACATTAAAAGTACATAAAAATCCACAATTAGTAAATAAATAATAAATATATATATAAAAATACACTGCTTGTTAAAAGTTAAGCACAAGAAATTGCAAAAAGTGAAAAAGCAAAAGATTGGTTTGGAGGTCACCAAGAGTTTGTGGAGGGGATATGACAATGTCTTCGTAAAGATATTGATCAGCCAATCTTGCTCAATGTGGACGAGCATTATCATCCAATAAAATGAAATTTTCTCCAATTGCACTAGTATAAGGTTTGACATAGTGGTCCAACATCTCATCCAGAGACCTCTGAGAAGTAATGGTACCTCCAAACACACAGAGGTCAGTGCATTCACGTAATGAAAACCCAGCCCAGATGGTCTTTCTACAACCACTGAAAGCATATCTTTCCATTAATTTTATGGTTTGTAATGGATTACAACCTTGCTGAACCTATACTCATCTGTGAACAGAACATGAGCTTATTATCCTCAAGCCCAGCCTATATGCTCCTGATACCACTTCAGGCAAGCCTGTCTACGTCTGAAGGTTAAAGCAAACATGTTGGTTGACAAGCATAGAGTTTAGCCTTATGAAGCCTTCTGGTAACAGTTGAGACAGACACCTGGCTTTCTGTGGATGACACAAGGCTAGCATGCAGAGATGATACAGATGTCCTATTGTTTCTTTTGGCTAGGAGCCATTTAAAATGATTATTCCAAAATGGTGTCACCCATGAACAGCCTAAAACTAGTCTTCTGACAATAGTTCCTGTTGCTTGGAATTGTCTCTAAAGCCTTGATTATATTATTTTCTAGTTTTTACTTGAAATATAATATATAAATTATATTGCTACAAATTCTGAATAATTTGAGAAATACAAAAATAAAACAGATTTATCAAAATTTTTTCTAAACAAGATATAATTTAATATAAAGTTGCTGATCAGATAGCAAAATTAGATGAGATATTGTTCTTTATTCATTGTATTACAGAGTAAATCCAATTCAAGTATCAAACTTTATGTTTATTACATTTTAACTGGACTTCATCTATGAAAGATAGATTATATTGTTCTTCTAAAATCAGTCATACAATATTTTATAAATACAGATCATATAAAATTAGTAAATAAATAATGTTTGAATAATTTTAAATAGAATAGAATAATCATTAAAGAAAAAGCAAAAACTATTTAAAATTAAGATTTTTTTACATTAAAACATTTTACAGATGTTGAAAAATAGTCTCCTCATATTATCAAAACATTGAAAACAATTAAACTGGCCTGAAAATTTATATTAATGTATGCAAATGAATTATTTGCATTGAATATTTGAATTATAAAATAACTTCAACATAAATTGCTAAAAGTTAAAGGTTAGAAAATACACATGACAAATATATTAATATATAGATCATATAAAATTAGTAAATCTTTACATACCTTTTCAATTGCAGGTATAAATTGTTTTGGAACATTTGGTCCTACTGTCTCATCAGAAAAAATCAATTGAGTATTCTGATCAGGTGGAAGAGGCTAAAAATGTAATAAAAATTATAATTATCATTCCAGAGTTAAATAAATCTTCAATTATAATGCATTGTTTTAAGACATAGTACATAGTTTTAAATACTAAACTTAAATAATAATTTGTAATAAATACAACAGAATCCACTTATGGTAATCATTACAGAACTCAATTCTGATATTATTAACACTGATATATTAACTCTGACATTTAAAAGACATTAAAACAACTAAAAAATGTATAACTTGAGAATTTATTAATAAGTTCTCAGTCTAACACAGAAATAAATACTACACATGAAAGACCACTACATATTATTCAATATATTTTTCCTTAGTCTCAATGCACTTCCTACAACAACATTCTAAAGTTTTTATCTCATTATAAAAAAAATTCAGAACTTTTGTTCTCCAACCACTCCTTTTGTCCACTGTCTCTGTCTTCCTTTCAAGTGTTTTTTCAAATAGAGAAAGAGTTAGTAATCCTAAGCAGCTAAGTAAGGGAAATAGGATGAATGTTAAACCCATCTGAATTTCAGTTCACTGAAGTTTTGTTTCCATTTTCTGAATGGTGTGTGCCAACTCTATTTTGTCAAATTAGACTTTGCTTTCTACCACTTTGTTTTTGTGACTTCACTTGCCCAAAAGGATGCAAAACTACCCTTCATTTTTGGTAAAGATATCATCAAAGATTTAATTTATTCTACCATGCTGCATTATTCTTTTCTGCCAAATATATTATTAAATAGGTCAGGCCTCATTATTATTATTATTATGTTGCAAATATCATGCTCTGCTGATTGTGGTGCCAAGTACTGTGTCAGAGTAAAGTCAAAGTATAGCTACCAAACAAGTGTTATTGATATATGTGTCAACATGTAGAAACTTCCTAACAATGTGATGCGTGCAATATTGCAGATTTCTGTAGTGCCATGTATATGTTTTTATTAGGATTTAATGTTTGTAGACTTTTGTGTAATATACGTGGTATAACACCAGTAGAAGAAAGAACAACAGACAATAAATACCTTATCCATCCTCCCCATCTGTCTTATTTCTTGAGCAAATGAGGGTATTTGGAGTGTATTTTTTCAGTGTGAGCATTTTTTATATTACGAGTGTTTGGAACAGAGATGTTTATTATATAAGTGATCTTACTGCATTTGTCAATGAAAGTGATGTCAAGTCTACTGTGATGAATTGTTTTATCTGTGATTATGGATATGATAAATGGATGTTTAATAATCTCTGTGTGCAAACTCTTGGTGTATTATATCTGCTACTTGATTATGTCTATATAAATAGTATGTTTGTGCTAAGAGCTTGCAACCAGAAATTATACGTTGTATTGTTTCTGGCAGAATGTGGCATTTTCTGCAAGAGTCATTTGTGAGTGATGTATCCTTCATAACGTGTTTTCTGTAGTTTTTAGTGTTTATGACCTGATCTTGAATGGCAACCATAAATCCCTCAGTCTCTCCAAATAGACAGCCCTACTCAGCGAGTAGTTTGATGCAGTTTTGTCAACATACTCCTGAGCTATGTCATAAGCATGCCTGCCATGAAGTGGCTTTTGGGTCCATTATTATTGTTGTTGTTGTTGAAGTGGATTCTACTCAGCTTATATACAGATAACTAATACTATGACAGCTAAAGATCAAGACATACAAAACAAGCTGTTACTATGCTTACATGCTATTTATGTATATATTTGTGTTTAAAAATTTCCTGTCACATGTTTTTGATATAGCAGCTTTATATAGTGTGATGTATGTGTGTGTTATTGTTGTAAAACCCTAATGTTTCTAGACTTTTGTGTAGTTATGTGGTTTGATGCCTATGCAAAAAGGAACTATAAGCACAACTGTTAATCAATAAATTCATCTAAAATTGTTTGCCTGCTTATGTACCACCATTAATAACAGCTTGCATATAAGTAAAATTCCAGAAATTTGAACCACTGTGCTAAGAGCAAATAATAATTAAAGCAATTAATGTTTAGCATTTATAACACTCATTTAGATTAACAATAATTGCTCATTATTAGCCAGAAGATAATACTAATAACACAAAAAGTGCTTAAAAATTCCAGTTTACCTAAAATTGATGATTATGATGACCAAAATTCTTAAAATACACATAGAAAACTATTATTATAACAATTTGAAGATTATTAATGCTAACAACTTCCCTATTGAAAAGTGTAATAGAAAAACTTATCGCATCTTTCCAGAATCTTCTTCTTCTTGGTGCCATATCAGATTCCTGACGTCGGCGACACCTGGCGTAGGTTTGTAATCCGCCAAGGTGTATACTAGGGAAAGTTACTACCCAGAGTGGTTTCCCGTTGCCTTCTCTGGGGCGCGATGTTACGCGAGGGGAACTAATGCCTTCCAGAATCAGTGTCGACATTCTTCCATAATGAACCGTAGAAGAATAGTGCTCAATTATTTTCCATTCTTAAACAAAATTATTATAACTCTAATTCTCATGACTGATGATAATATCCTGGATTACAATAAGCAGATTTTACTGTATTTTTATAATTTTACATCAATTATTATTAAACATAAAGATACCTCCATAATTCCAATCACTCTACCATACTGTCCAGCACCACCATGTTGTTTCTTATGTAAATAATCAAATTCACATGCTTTCAATAAACTCTCCCTAAAAGCAACTTTCGGCTTTCCTAAAATCACAGCACAATTATATTCTCTTTCCATTCTCTATTTGAAAAGAAATTTTTGTTAAAATAAAGTTTTAAATAATTCAAATAAAAGGATTTGTTTCCTTTTAAAGGAATTAAATTCTTGTAATTGAAATTTACTGATTAAAACAAATATATTGATCATTACAGTAGATATGTTTAAAAGCCAAACAATATATTCACACCAATTATATATTCAAAGATCACGAGGCATCTTAGATATTCCTCATTATTAATATATCACATTTTATCGACTTAACCAGACTGACTTGTAGATCCATATCTAAGAATACGGAATGTCTATTATAAATATTCATTTATTCAATTTTCCGATATTGATTTTCGACTGTACAATGTGTAATTGCAAGTTACGATATNAATAAAATATATTAACCTCCTTAATGTCATGATCATAGTGTATTCGATAGGTAGGATCTTCTCTAGTATATCTGCCTATAGCTTTTGCAAAAGCATCTACATTAAGTTTATCTTTGGGTTTGATAGACATTGATATCACAGGTTCAGGAACGAACAGGGTTCCTAAAATAAATATTTAAAAAAATTATTCTAAAACTTTAGTTATTTTACTTTCCTGTCAAAATACCAAGATTAACATTCACCATAGATAATTTTAAATTTTTCTCTGTTACAAATGTATCACCAGTAGCACAATCAACCCCAAACAAAGCACATATATCTCCAGCATAGGATTCTTCAATATCTTCCATCTCATCTGCATGCATTCTCACAAGTCGAGATACTTTTAATCTTTTACCAGTTCGTGTATTAAATATCCAATCTCCCCTTTTTATCATTCCTTGATACACACGTAAATAAGTTAACTGACCAAATTTTCCAGCCTAAAATAAACACACATTTAATATAATAATAAAAATTTAGTATATAACACTGAATATTAATAATGAAAGAATTATGAAAATTACTTACTTCTAACTTAAAAGCCAAACAAACACCTGTTTTAGAATTATTTCTTGTTGGATCCATTACTAATCTCACAGCCTCATTTCTGTACCAATTTTTAAAATAAGTTTTGTAAATCAAGTTATATTATTGAAAGTAAGTAGAATAAGTCCATTTTTGAGATATAACAATAAAACCTTTGCACTATTTAGAGGTATATTTTTTCTTATAGTAAATCTATGGCAATTTAACAATATACTTTGGCACACATCAATGTAAAATTTAATATACTTTGGGATATATTATTTTATTTTATTTAAATGCTTCAGGATATATTTTAATTAATTCAAACTTTTTAATTTAAACTTTCAAAACTTTATTCAGCCTTTATTTTAATTCAAACTTTATTTTTTTATTTTCTAAATATAACTTTAAAAGATTTTAATAACATTTTTTGTTCTCATTTGAATCGACAATTCAAATGAGAATGGACAATTCAGTCACTTCAAAATTCTGCATCTGACACTTTTCCTTTAATCCTTTAATACATTATAGGCACATTTTAATCTTTGTAAAATGTCCTCACTTGAAGTCACATTTATCTTTATGCAATAACATATTTTAAGTAATTTTTACAAGCAACACAACAAACCATGAAGTTCTAAACACACTTTGATTATAATTCAATTTATTGCTAACAATATACAACAGTAATGCTACCATCTTTTTGTCTCTTCAGCAATCCAATTTTTCTTATGAGATGTACAAGTATGTAAATGTTTATTTTTAAACAAATACACACAATAATTTTTAAATGCGTCTATATTTTTCTATTGTATGTGTACAGTGATACAAGATTTGGTTTCATTTTTGTATTTAGAGTTGATAAAAGATTAAATAGCAAAATAAAATTATATTAAAAATGATTATAAATTATGCAAATTAAAAAATTACATAAAATTATATTATATTAAATTATAAAAAAAAGTTTAAAAATAATCATAATGCATCATAATTCCAGTATACTAATCTTTATGCTATAGGATAATTATATTCCAAATTATAATTTTGGATATCAAGTATTATTAAAGTGATCATTATAAAGTAATTCCTATACCTGTATGGTAAAGCAAACATTGAATAATACAAATAAGCTATCTTTTGAAGGTGTTAATCACAAAACTATAGATAATTCATTGTTGTTTGTATCTAGTAGTATTCATTGATATCTTTATGGGTTATTCAATCCACTTTTACCTAGATTTGTCATAACAGTTGACTTAATCAATATCGTAATGATCAACTTAATTTTAAAATAACATCATTATAACAAAACATTTTGAAAGTGTTAATTAATTAAGGTTAGATAATTATACAGTAATCATTTTAAATTGACCAACAGTATTTACATTTTTAATAAAGTACAAAAATATAGAAGAAACAAAATGTCTTTGACTTTGAATATCCATCTTCACAATCATCAGAGATGACCTTTTTATGAAGACTAGGTCTCTGCAATAATGCAAATTGGTTAAAACATCCTCTGGTGACATTGTCATAGCTTAAAAACAAACAGAAAAATGAACAGAGATGTAAAGGTTTCTCTTTACCAGGTACTGGTACAATATATATAAAAATAGATTCACAATAAACCTTTGAGTAACCAGTAAAACATTTATTTTAAAAAAACAAATGTTTTCAACTGTATTCTTCAGCCTTCTTCAGGTTAAATGTTCCGAGATTCTAAAAGCTGTTGTGCTTAAAGATTTAAAAGATGTAACCTCCATAAAAAGAGGAGAACAGAGATGTAACCTCCATAAAAAAGTCATCTTTGTAGATGAAGATTGTTGCTGATGATTGTGAAAATGGATATCCGAAGACATTTTGTATCATAAGAAACTCAACATCACCTTAACACTGGGGGTGAAATCAACACTAAATCTAGAACCTGTTACCAGTGTAAACACGATTTACACCAGTAACTAATTCCGGATTTAGTGTTGACATTTTGTATCTTCTATACTTTTGTATTTTATTAAAAATATATAATAATCATATGATGAATGTTAATAATTATTAATAAATTAATAAATTTAATTGTTTACATGGATAAACAAATGTTGAGAAAATAATTGTAAAAATCAACTGAAAAGTAACTAAAAGTCCAAAATGCATTTCAAGTTACATAAAAGATATTATAAGAAATCTGAATTGTCTGTTGACCAATTCGACAAATCTATGTAAAAATGGAACAAGTAACCCAGAAAGACGTTGTAGATAATTCCATTAAAAATACCACTATCTCTTTAAAAGATACTGTTATATTATACTAAATATAATATATAATACTAATTCATTAACCATAATATAACATAATTTCATCTGCTAAAGATTCATAAATATAAGTATATTAAACATCCCAAAGCCCGATACATAGATACTCAACCAAACGATTGCCTTAAACAATCAGACTATAAATTCACTATTATTAATGACTAAATACTAAGTAATTTGGTTAGTAATTTGGTAATTTAGAATCATCTAGAAGAAAAAACTAGCCTGGAGTGGGGCTTGAACCCGCAACCTCCACTTATCATGTGGTGCACTTGTGCCAGTTACACCATCCGGACCCTGAGCAGGCCTTCACTTCCAGATGTATTTCAATTTATAATATAACCTTAATTTTAGATATAACCTTATGTGGTTACTCACAGCACTGGCTGGGGATGACTCCTTTAGGATGTTTAGTATACTTACATATATACCTCACCGGGTAAGGCATTAGCTGGCTGAGTGCCACTGTGGAGATGTACTTAGGCCGTGGACATAGGAGTCATCTCCAGCTAGTGCCATTAGTAACCATGTAAGGTTATATCTAAATTTAAATACATCTGGAAGTGAAGGCTTTCTTGGTGTCTGGATGGCGTAACTGGCAAGTGCACTGCACAGTAAGCAAAGGTCATGGGTTCAAGTCCCTCTCTGGGCTAGTTCTTTCTTCCAGATGATTCTAAATTATTTAATAAATTATTAAAATTATAATTATTAATTTAGATAAGAGATGGTGCCTAACGTCTACCTCTAGTACCAAATTATTTAGTATTTAATCATTAATAATAGCAAATTTACAGCCCAATTGTTTAAGGTGATCGTTCAGTTGAGATTCATAAATATTAATTGTTTTAAAATAATATAGAAGAGATAAGTAATAATATTTAAAATAAACTTTTAACCATTTTAAATAATAATACTCACTCTACTTCAGTATATGCAACATTTTCTACTTCAGAAGGATTTGGTAAATAGGAAACAATAGCATCTAGTAATGGCTGAACACCTTTGTTCTTCAAAGCAGTTCCCAATAAAACAGGATGAAATTTTCTCTGAAGACAAGCTCTTCTGATAGCTGCCTGAAATTGAAAGATTACAAAGCAATTAATTAAACAAAATTTCTTCAAAAATTTTAAGAATTAATTATATACATTCTCATTTCATATGAATCAACTTCTAATTATTATTATATATATAAAAATTTATCATTAGATAATAACTTAAACAAAAGTCAAGCACTCAAAAAATTTGTTAATATATATACAGTACAGTACTCCATTATCCGGACCTCCATTATCCGGATTTTCGATTATCCGGATTGTTCAAAATAAACAAAAATTTTACGAATTTGCTGATTTGCACTTGGCGAATTACGACACTGTTTATGTAGTGATGGAATGCATAACTTTTTTTGTTTTAACAACGTCTCACCCATCACAGTGGTCGTAAACTCTTAAATATATTTTATGTAGTGATAAAAATATAACTTGACATACCTATTTATATATAATTTATATTCAAATTACATCATTTCTATGACCAAGGGCGGCGTAAGGCATGGACGACGTGGGCCACCGCCTATGCCTCGCGGTCCGAAGGGCCTCGCGCCTCGAAGGTTTATGCATTACTTAAAAGCCGCGAACGCGACGAAAAAATTTTACTCGTCATAAAACGATAAATAGTTTGTCAAATTTTTATTCATAAAAATGCAGTTTCAACTGCTTTTTATTTTATAAAATCCGTCTTCTTGCGCCACCAGAGGGCCTTTTAAACAATAGGTAGTCTGTTAGCGTTGGTCAGTAGTAGTCCAAATTCAATACGAACGTTTGTTTCTTGAAAATTTGATCACGATTTAAATACAGTATTTACTTTTAATATTACCGATATGTCATCGAAAAGAAAACGTGTTGTATTACCATTTAAAGACAAATTAAAGTATTTGTTTCGATTATCCGGATTTTTCCTTATCCGGACTACCTTCATCCCCAATTAGTCCGGATAATCGAGGTTCTACTGCATTTATAAATATTCAATGGACAGGTATCCCTCATACAACATAGTACTTTTACAACATGGTTTGCAAAATCCTCTGTACAAAATTTCACAATTTTTTAAGTGTAAACTTCACTATTCAATACTGTTTTTTTTTTATTCAGGTAAGCATATGTGTTGTCTCAAATTTGCCCATGAATTTTAGAATATTGAAATTTTCAATTATTTTGTGCTTTTTGTCAGGTTTACTTTAGTGCAAACTGATAGGACAAGGAAGAAAACAATTGCACTAACTTTCCTATTAACCAAGTCATCATTTCTTTCAGACTTTAGCCCTTAAGATTGTCACTGTGTTTTATTTTTATTGATTAATCTTCATATTTAGTAAAATTTATTTACACATTTTTAGATAAGTGTTATTAAACTTTTTTAACTGTAGATATTGCTTACCTCTGCATGATTACTTCATTCATATACATGATGAATGAAATACAGCATTATCTCAGTACTCAAACACAAATTTTGGAAAAAAGTCATCAATATTCCAACTGAACAAATGCAATCTGCTAAAACAAATTTTTGATTAATAACACTTTTATTTCATCATCCATAAAAAATTTTGGTTTAACCCTGGTTTAACTAAAATTAATATTAATGCATAATACAGTACTTTTAATTGTAATTTTTTATTTATTTTTGATTGTAAGCACATTATTGATTGCTTTAATAAACATATTTCTCTTAGTGATAAAAAAGATTATAATACTTTTGCTAACTTCTGAAACCTAACCCAACGTTTTGCATTAGTCCTTTGTTTCATATAGCACAGATATTTATAATAGGCACTTTTTCAGAACATAACTATTGTATTATACAAGGAATATCTTTACACAAATAATATATAAAAGTCAATGCCAGTCAATCAAGTATATATGAAGTCTGAAAAAATATCTCCAATTCAAGTATGTGTACAATTGACAAATCAAACAATGTGTCCTTCAAAGTATTGTCCTTTGTTAACCACACAATTTTCCAATGCCGGTATAGCTGCTGAAAATATTCTTGAAAGCAGTCTCGTGACAGCACTTGCAATGCAGATGTCACACTTTGTATAACCTCATCCCATATCTTCATTCTTGAAGTGGCGTCCTTTGATGGCTTCTTTCAAGACAGTAGGGGAACTAGGAGAAGAGGAAGATATCTCATGAGGTCTGCTGTTAGCATTCATGGCACTGTGTGTTAACAAATACGGTTGTTCAATTGATCATGTAGAATGGAATAACAACTTCCAACCAAAATTTCTGCTGTCTTGGTGATCTGCTCAATTGACTGCTGTCTGTCTGACTTCACAGTCCCATGTACAATTGACACTTTCTCCTCAGACATTGATGTTGACAGACAATCACATTGCAAATCAAAAGCGATACTTTCTTGTCCCTCATAAAAGCATTTTTGCAAGCTATAAACTTGAGAATGCAAATATACACCCACAACTGCTGTAAATGATCAAGCAAAATTTGGATATAATATATCTATACCTTGCTGGGGTTGCAATAGCCAACTGAGTGCCCTGAGTGAATGTTTCTGGCCAAGGACACGATTGCATCCCCAATCAGCATCGTAATAACGATCGATAATTATATCTTAAACTTATATATACTGGAAGAGGAAATTGGACCAAAGGTCCGGGTAGCGTAACTGGCAATGCGTTCTCATGGTAAGTGGGAAGTGCAGGTTCGAGTCCCACTTCAGGCCGATTCTTTTCTTCCAGTTTAATCTAAATTAATTAATTAAATATTATAATTATTAATTTTAATACGAGGGCGCCTAACACCTCACTTTAGTGTCAAATTCATTTATAATTTATAATCATTATATCCAAATTTAGCCCAATCATTTACAGCAGTTGCGGGTGTATATTTGCTTAATATATGGGTTTAGGTTGTGTATATTTGTACTTAAGAATGCTTCATGGAAGATTCAATGTAGGCATCCTGAAGCATCTTCAAGGTCTCAGAAAGTTTTTTTCCCCCAATAACACACAAACTTTGATATTTGCATGTTGTTCTTCCTCAGACATTTTCACCAGACTCTATTTCACAACATCGCGCTAACATAATCTTCAGTGAATGGTAACCGTTGTTGTTTGCAGCAAGTATGGTTTTGTTTGAACATATATCTCTATTTTATGACATGTTTAGCTAAGACATGCATTACACATTCCCTTTTTCATCACTTTTAATTGACTAACCCAGCATGATTCTGGGAACTTTTAGAAGCTATCTTGTATATGTATATATATATATAATCATTGGCCAATGAATTAGAAACCTTGGTTCAAAACCTTAAGTGTTTTGAGAAAAAAATAAAGTCTATTATAACTGAATATTCATCATAACAAAGTCAATTCACATATAAAAAAGGCATTTTATCAGATCCAGAAAATTAGTCCATAATAGCTAAAGTTTTCCAATTATGAGTACTCAGACTCAAATTCATTGAGTCTTTTCACTTTCACAAAAACGTCAATTATACGAACATTTAAACATAAAGAAAGAAAGAAATAAAATAAACAATAATTCGGGTCGTATAATCCACCAATTCTGGAGCACCATACTAGATGACGTTTATAAAAAAGCATAGTTAACAGTCTCCCTAACATAACACAGTTGAATTGTGAAAAATTGAACCTTGATGCTAGTTTTTTGGTTTTCCTATGTGATGTTTTTAGTTTTTAATAATTTACAACCTTTATTTATTATATTTTAATTTAATTATATAGTGAAATGTTTAACTCATTAATNGGCCTTTTAAACAATAGGTAGTCTGTTAGCGTTGGTCAGTAGTAGTCCAAATTCAATACGAACGTTTGTTTCTTGAAAATTTGACCACGATTTAAATACAGTATTTACTTTCAATATTACCGATATGTCATCGAAAAGAAAACGTGTTGTATTACCATTTAAAGACAAATTAAAGTATTTGTTTCGATTATCCGGATTTTTCCTTATCCGGACTACCTTCATCCCCAATTAGTCCGGATAATCGAGGTTCTACTGCATTTATAAATATTCAATGGACAGGTATCCCTCATACAACATAGTACTTTTACAACATGGTTTGCAAAATCCTCTGTACAAAATTTCACAATTTTTTAAGTGTAAACTTCACTATTCAATACTGTTTTTTTTTTATTCAGGTAAGCATATGTGTTGTCTCAAATTTGCCCATGAATTTTAGAATATTGAAATTTTCAATTATTTTGTGCTTTTTGTCAGGTTTACTTTAGTGCAAACTGATAGGACAAGGAAGAAAACAATTGCACTAACTTTCCTATTAACCAAGTCATCATTTCTTTCAGACTTTAGCCCTTAAGATTGTCACTGTGTTTTATTTTTATTGATTAATCTTCATATTTAGTAAAATTTATTTACACATTTTTAGATAAGTGTTATTAAACTTTTTTAACTGTAGATATTGCTTACCTCTGCATGATTACTTCATTCATATACATGATGAATGAAATACAGCATTATCTCAGTACTCAAACACAAATTTTGGAAAAAAGTCATCAATATTCCAACTGAACAAATGCAATCTGCTAAAACAAATTTTTGATTAATAACACTTTTATTTCATCATCCATAAAAAATTTTGGTTTAACCCTGGTTTAACTAAAATTAATATTAATGCATAATACAGTACTTTTAATTGTAATTTTTTATTTATTTTTGATTGTAAGCACATTATTGATTGCTTTAATAAACATATTTCTCTTAGTGATAAAAAAGATTATAATACTTTTGCTAACTTCTGAAACCTAACCCAACGTTTTGCATTAGTCCTTTGTTTCATATAGCACAGATATTTATAATAGGCACTTTTTCAGAACATAACTATTGTATTATACAAGGAATATCTTTACACAAATAATATATAAAAGTCAATGCCAGTCAATCAAGTATATATGAAGTCTGAAAAAATATCTCCAATTCAAGTATGTGTACAATTGACAAATCAAACAATGTGTCCTTCAAAGTATTGTCCTTTGTTAACCACACAATTTTCCAATGCCGGTATAGCTGCTGAAAATATTCTTGAAAGCAGTCTCGTGACAGCACTTGCAATGCAGATGTCACACTTTGTATAACCTCATCCCATATCTTCATTCTTGAAGTGGCGTCCTTTGATGGCTTCTTTCAAGACAGTAGGGGAACTAGGAGAAGAGGAAGATATCTCATGAGGTCTGCTGTTAGCATTCATGGCACTGTGTGTTAACAAATACGGTTGTTCAATTGATCATGTAGAATGGAATAACAACTTCCAACCAAAATTTCTGCTGTCTTGGTGATCTGCTCAATTGACTGCTGTCTGTCTGACTTCACAGTCCTATGTACAATTGACACTTTCTCCTCAGACATTGATGTTGACAGACAATCACATTGCAAATCAAAAGCGATACTTTCTTGTCCCTCATAAAAGCATTTTTGCAAGCTATAAACTTGAGAATGCAAATATACACCCACAACTGCTGTAAATGATCAAGCAAAATTTGGATATAATATATCTATACCTTGCTGGGGTTGCAATAGCCAACTGAGTGCCCTGAGTGAATGTTTCTGGCCAAGGACACGATTGCATCCCCAATCAGCATCGTAATAACGATCGATAATTATATCTTAAACTTATATATACTGGAAGAGGAAATTGGACCAAAGGTCCGGGTAGCGTAACTGGCAATGCGTTCTCATGGTAAGTGGGAAGTGCAGGTTCGAGTCCCACTTCAGGCCGATTCTTTTCTTCCAGTTTAATCTAAATTAATTAATTAAATATTATAATTATTAATTTTAATACGAGGGCGCCTAACACCTCACTTTAGTGTCAAATTCATTTATAATTTATAATCATTATATCCAAATTTAGCCCAATCATTTACAGCAGTTGCGGGTGTATATTTGCTTAATATATGGGTTTAGGTTGTGTATATTTGTACTTAAGNTGTAAGTCTAATAAAGTATTGTAATTTTATACATTTCTTGTGAAAAAAACATTTCTTATTCAACAGCCATAAAAATTATTTCTAGTAATGATGTCTCTAAAGTTCAATAAATTTTTCACAGAAAAATAACTTATCAGAAAACGCACCCGCCGTTTGGTGCACTGCTCCACGATGAAAACAAGCTTAAGCAATGGCGTCGTCGAACGGTGTACACTCGGTAAGTAATCCTACAATTTTTTGTTTGTAGCATAGTTTATACGGATTATTCCCAAATAATTATACGTGTTTTGAAAATGTTGAGTCAAATTAGTCTAGAATTGATTAATTTTATGGAAAAAAACCTTTCAAACAGCCATAGTACGTAAACTGCACACGTGCCGAGCTGTGATTGGCTCATGTATTTAAGGATTCCTACAACGTGAAATTCTTATAAAGTGGAACGTATCTACCACGTTATAGGGGGATCGACTGTATATGAGACTGAACAGTGTCAGATTATGGAGACTGAAGAATTATTGGAAGTAAGATAAATTCAATGGCACATAAATGAATTTGACAGTGCTGAATCAACTATTAATGATGATGCAAAACACAAGGTGAACATAAGGTTCAAAACAACTGAGAGCAGTGTTGCCAAGTTGGTGGATTCCCACTAAATTTAGTGGAAATATTAAAGTGACTGTGGGAAATTTAAAGGAATCAATTTTTATTATTTATACAGTATTTTGTTTTAAGATACTGTACCTTTTCTGAGCAGTATAAGATAACAAGCCTAACAACTTTTAATATCATGCTTCAATCCCAAGTGTTCAAACTTGGCTAAATTAATATCATGCAACATTTAGCAAAAAAGTGTTTAAATTCAGTGAGAACTGGAATTTGAACTAGTGAGAGAGAAGCTTGTCTATGACTTAGCAACAATGACAGCAATACCTGAGAGTTAACTATGTCAAATTACTAGATATGTCAAACTGTCAAATGGTATGATTACCAGCATTACATTCCTGTTAAGCATGAAAAATTGAGAAGAGTTGAATGTTCAAGAAATTCAAGAAGGGTAGCTAATATTTATACAAATTAAGTAGCCTATATTGTCCATTAGAACATAACTGATGTGTGATAATACATTTTAAATAACTCTCATTAGACTGTTACTTCTGGATAATAAAACATTATGGAAAATTTTTAAAAAAACTTGTTGTAGAAGTGATATAAAGCAGCTATTTTTTTAAATTTAATATTCAAATTAAACTATTTGCCAAAATGTGTAAAAATTCAACAAGGTAAATGATGCCACTGAACTGAAATCAATAAAACCTTTTTTTATAGATATTAGTTAATATTTCCACAAATTAAGTAGCCTATACTTTCCATTGGAGCATAAAAATATTGCAGCAAACCACATTTAGCTGGCTCAATCTTAGAGTCTCAAAATATCAAGTTTTGCCAAACTCTAGTTAAAGCAGAATGTCTTATATGAGTAATTATAATGTTTTATATGAGTCTGTTAAAACAAAGTTTAATTGTATATGTATTTTCTCAATAATTAGCTATCTTTGAGAAAATATATTATATTTCAAATTAATATATTCAATTTAATAAATTAAACTTCAATGTTTGTAGAACAAATACTTTAACATTGTTATAGAACAAAAAAATAGACATTAGTACAAAAATGTAAAAATTATTTTTACATTTTTATACTATTTATTTTATAAACATTTTTTTAAAAAAATCAAAAATTTGGAAATTATTTATGATGGTCTCAAAGCTTAATGGCTGTATACAAGATGGTTAAGGCATCAGCCTACTACTCTGGGTGCCCAAGATCAAATCTGAGACAAGCTACTGTCTAAGAATTTTTCATGATCAGCCTTCCCTGATATGTTGGGGTCCATCACTCAACACTCAGCTGCCAAATGTGAGCCTAGCTGAACCCATGATGGATGTGAAAAAATGACCCTCTTAGTGTAACAAGACAGAAAAAGTAAAAAAAAAAACCACCAAAATCTACACTTTAGTTGAAATATTATGAGTATTTGTAGTAAACTCTCTAAATATTTAGTTGATTTATTTCTTTCTTTTTCAACAATCTTTTCTCATATAAAATATATAGTACAGTCTCAGTAATATGATATAAAATACAGTCGACCCTTCTATAAATCGGGTTCATATAATGCGGATTTGTATAGCGCGGTGAAAAAATTGCGACTGTATTCGTATAAAGACGCTAAAAGAGACTCGTAAAATGTGGTAAAACATCATCGCCGACTCATGTCGCAACAGGATTGGTTAAATCTGGACCAATAGTGGACGAGCAGCCGAACTACTTACACACTACTGAGAGTTTAGGCAGGTAAGTTGAGTTTACTATCGTCTGTACAGTATATAGGCCTAAATTAGATACTGTAAGTCTAATAAAGTATTGTAATTTTATACATTTCTTGTGAAAAAAACATTTCTTATTCAACAGCCATAAAAATTATTTCTAGTAATGATGTCTCTAAAGTTCAATAAATTTTTCACAGAAAAATAACTTATCAGAAAACGCACCCGCCGTTTGGTGCACTGCTCCACGATGAAAACAAGCTTAAGCAATGGCGTCGTCGAACGGTGTACACTCGGTAAGTAATCCTACAATTTTTTGTTTGTAGCATAGTTTATACGGATTATTCCCAAATAATTATACGTGTTTTGAAAATGTTGAGTCAAATTAGTCTAGAATTGATTAATTTTATGGAAAAAAACCTTTCAAACAGCCATAGTACGTAAACTGCACACGTGCCGAGCTGTGATTGGCTCATGTATTTAAGGATTCCTACAACGTGAAATTCTTATAAAGTGGAACGTATCTACCACGTTATAGGGGGATCGACTGTATATGAGACTGAACAGTGTCAGATTATGGAGACTGAAGAATTATTGGAAGTAAGATAAATTCAATGGCACATAAATGAATTTGACAGTGCTGAATCAACTATTAATGATGATGCAAAACACAAGGTGAACATAAGGTTCAAAACAACTGAGAGCAGTGTTGCCAAGTTGGTGGATTCCCACTAAATTTAGTGGAAATATTAAAGTGACTGTGGGAAATTTAAAGGAATCAATTTTTATTATTTATACAGTATTTTGTTTTAAGATACTGTACCTTTTCTGAGCAGTATAAGATAACAAGCCTAACAACTTTTAATATCATGCTTCAATCCCAAGTGTTCAAACTTGGCTAAATTAATATCATGCAACATTTAGCAAAAAAGTGTTTAAATTCAGTGAGAACTGGAATTTGAACTAGTGAGAGAGAAGCTTGTCTATGACTTAGCAACAATGACAGCAATACCTGAGAGTTAACTATGTCAAATTACTAGATATGTCAAACTGTCAAATGGTATGATTACCAGCATTACATTCCTGTTAAGCATGAAAAATTGAGAAGAGTTGAATGTTCAAGAAATTCAAGAAGGGTAGCTAATATTTATACAAATTAAGTAGCCTATATTGTCCATTAGAACATAACTGATGTGTGATAATACATTTTAAATAACTCTCATTAGACTGTTACTTCTGGATAATAAAACATTATGGAAAATTTTTAAAAAAACTTGTTGTAGAAGTGATATAAAGCAGCTATTTTTTTAAATTTAATATTCAAATTAAACTATTTGCCAAAATGTGTAAAAATTCAACAAGGTAAATGATGCCACTGAACTGAAATCAATAAAACCTTTTTTTATAGATATTAGTTAATATTTCCACAAATTAAGTAGCCTATACTTTCCATTGGAGCATAAAAATATTGCAGCAAACCACATTTAGCTGGCTCAATCTTAGAGTCTCAAAATATCAAGTTTTGCCAAACTCTAGTTAAAGCAGAATGTCTTATATGAGTAATTATAATGTTTTATATGAGTCTGTTAAAACAAAGTTTAATTGTATATGTATTTTCTCAATAATTAGCTATCTTTGAGAAAATATATTATATTTCAAATTAATATATTCAATTTAATAAATTAAACTTCAATGTTTGTAGAACAAATACTTTAACATTGTTATAGAACAAAAAAATAGACATTAGTACAAAAATGTAAAAATTATTTTTACATTTTTATACTAAATTTTGATATCTTTTTTATTTATTGAACTTATGATTAATTATTATTAATGTTTTTCAAATTACATGTAAACTTTATGGTTTATTTCTAATTTCTTTCATAATTTCTTANACCTTTATTTATTATATTTTAATTTAATTATATAGTGAAATGTTTAACTCATTAATTAATTATACAACGAGAAAAATACATTTATACTCGGAATTGGAATATGTATTTACAGTAAGTTTTAAAATTAATTCTTATGGCTATGAAAAAATTTTAACTTATACAATAACTTATCTTGTTTTATTATTGTTACTTTTTAGTGTGTGGTAGTAGTACTGCTGATGAGGGGCATGCTAGCCCAAAACACGTGTAATATGTGTACAGAAACTATTACTACAGGTGATATAATAAAGAAATTTTGTTCTTTCCTGAACTAACCCTCATTGCTGTGTCAATCTTTAAACACCAGTATTAAGTCCTATTAATAAGTAATGTCCGAGTAGACAATTAACAATAACATTAGTCTTTTCACTTTACTCATCTCAATATTCAATCTAAAACTCAGAAAATTATTAATAAAGATGTAAGGAAATAAAATGTAATTACTTTAACTAAAAATAACCATCTAATTCTAATTTGTCTTTACAAATTAGTAAAGATAAAATACAACTTGTTTAGTTTTGTCATTATATCTACAAAACTGATTTACCACGTGCACAACAGAATTTTTAAGTCAATTTGAGACTTAGAAAATTGAAAATATGCCAAATCATTAAAAAAAATTGCATGCTAATTCATAATATAATTAAATAATCAAATAATTTTCACAAATTTTGCAATACTATCCACAAAACATGAGTACACACATTATGTGTTTATTTATTTTATAAACATTTTTTTAAAAAAATCAAAAATTTGGAAATTATTTATGATGGTCTCAAAGCTTAATGGCTGTATACAAGATGGTTAAGGCATCAGCCTACTACTCTGGGTGCCCAAGATCAAATCTGAGACAAGCTACTGTCTAAGAATTTTTCATGATCAGCCTTCCCTGATATGTTGGGGTCCATCACTCAACACTCAGCTGCCAAATGTGAGCCTAGCTGAACCCATGATGGATGTGAAAAAATGACCCTCTTAGTGTAACAAGACAGAAAAAGTAAAAAAAAAAACCACCAAAATCTACACTTTAGTTGAAATATTATGAGTATTTGTAGTAAACTCTCTAAATATTTAGTTGATTTATTTCTTTCTTTTTCAACAATCTTTTCTCATATAAAATATATAGTACAGTCTCAGTAATATGATATAAAATACAGTCGACCCTTCTATAAATCGGGTTCATATAATGCGGATTTGTATAGCGCGGTGAAAAAATTGCGACTGTATTCGTATAAAGACGCTAAAAGAGACTCGTAAAATGTGGTAAAACATCATCGCCGACTCATGTCGCAACAGGATTGGTTAAATCTGGACCAATAGTGGACGAGCAGCCGAACTACTTACACACTACTGAGAGTTTAGGCAGGTAAGTTGAGTTTACTATCGTCTGTACAGTATATAGGCCTAAATTAGATACTGTAAGTCTAATAAAGTATTGTAATTTTATACATTTCTTGTGAAAAAAACATTTCTTATTCAACAGCCATAAAAATTATTTCTAGTAATGATGTCTCTAAAGTTCAATAAATTTTTCACAGAAAAATAACTTATCAGAAAACGCACCCGCCGNTTTTTTTTTTATAATTTCTTAACGTATTATATGTTTTGCTTACTGAATTTTATATTATTGTTTATGTATTTTAATTTTCTCAAATAAGTTATTGTAAATTTAGTTAATTGCTATTGTATCATGTTTCTACTGAAATATTGTGTTATACTTTGTCTGCATTATTATTCTATAATGTATTGTATTTTGTTATTTACATTCTGTATTTTGTGATTCTCTGCTGTATAATATTTCAATGCATATGTTTTCTGTATCACACAACTTGTTATTTTATCCCCATCTTTTGTATATACTACACATGTAATGTTACTGTAGCCTCTAATGTTAATGATCTGTAATAATGCCAATATGTTCTTGTCTGCACCTGGTTATATGTATATGGCACCAGGTATGTACTGTAACTCAGTATTTTATTAATAAAATGAATCTGAATCTGAATCTGAATCTGTGCGGACTTTTGGTTCCCGGATGGAGGCGGAAGGAGAGAATCAGAGGAATTACACTCTATAGATTTGTTTGAGCCATACTGCCCAGCAACATCAGACATCTTCTGCCCACTCTCTACCTTTGCTATTTTACCTTTTGAAAATAAAACTCGATGCAAAACTTAACAAGTGCCTGCCTGACAGTCTCGTGAATACTATAAAAGAATTGTTTCTGTCAGAAAAATAAAAGGTTGGAATTACAAGGGAGAGTTTCAAAGTTTGGAGGAATACTATCTGATCAGTATATTCTGGGTTGAGCGTCGATGTCGATGTCTCCAGCGCTTCGAAAAGTTTCGAATTGTTGCCTAAAGACAAGAGAAAATCAATCGGTATTTGTTATTTTCGTTGCTTCTTTTTATGTTTGTTCAGTGAAGTGTTCATTGTTCGATCATAAAAATCTTTTGCGAAAGTGTTCATTATCCAATTTGTTCGTTAACCGAAAGTGTTCGTTATCCAATTTGTTCGCTAACCAATCACCCACTGTAATCGAAAAGTTAGCTATGACCCGTGGATACACTTTACATACATTAAACTCAGAATCAAGCATCTGAAAGGTTATAAGAATTAATGTATGCATGGATATAAGTTTTTTGAGACCTTTTGTTTCAGTTATGAAGCTCAGCTGATATTTTGTTCATGCAAACATTTATACTAAAAATCTTTCAAGTGTTTGTGTTTGTGTTTGAGTTTTAGTATGTAAAAGTATTAAGCAGTGTTCATCTAACAAGAAAAACTGGAAAATATATATATATATTCCAGTTTTTCTTGTTAGATGAACACTGCTTAATACTTTTACATACTAAAACTCAAACACAAACACAAACACTTGAAAGATTTTTAGTATAAATGTTTGCATGAACAAAATATCAGCTGAGCTTCATAACTGAAACAAAAGGTCTCAAAAAACTTATATCCATGCATACATTAATTCTTATAACCTTTCAGATGCTTGATTCTGAGTTTAATGTATGTAAAGTGTATCCACGGGTCATAGCTAACTTTTCGATTACAGTGGGTGATTGGTTAGCGAACAAATTGGATAACGAACACTTTCGGTTAACGAACAAATTGGATAATGAACACTTTCGCAAAAGATTTTTATGATCGAACAATGAACACTTCACTGAACAAACATAAAAAGAAGCAACGAAAATAACAAATACCGATTGATTTTCTCTTGTCTTTAGGCAACAATTCGAAACTTTTCGAAGCGCTGGAGACATCGACATCGACGCTCAACCCAGAATATACTGATCAGATAGTATTCCTCCAAACTTTGAAACTCTCCCTTGTAATTCCAACCTTTTATTTTTCTGACAGAAACAATTCTTTTATAGTATTCACGAGACTGTCAGGCAGGCACTTGTTAAGTTTTGCATCGAGTTTTATTTTCAAAAGGTAAAATAGCAAAGGTAGAGAGTGGGCAGAAGATGTCTGATGTTGCTGGGCAGTATGGCTCAAACAAATCTATAGAGTGTAATTCCTCTGATTCTCTCCTTCCGCCTCCATCCGGGAACCAAAAGTCCGCACAGATTCAGATTCAGATTCAGATTCATTTTATTAATAAAATACTGAGTTACAGTACATACCTGGTGCCATATACATATAACCAGGTGCAGACAAGAACATATTGGCATTATTACAGATCATTAACATTAGAGGCTACAGTAACATTACATGTGTAGTATATACAAAAGATGGGGATAAAATAACAAGTTGTGTGATACAGAAAACATATGCATTGAAATATTATACAGCAGAGAATCACAAAATACAGAATGTAAATAACAAAATACAATACATTATAGAATAATAATGCAGACAAAGTATAACACAATATTTCAGTAGAAACATGATACAATAGCAATTAACTAAATTTACAATAACTTATTTGAGAAAATTAAAATACATAAACAATAATATAAAATTCAGTAAGCAAAACATATAATACGTTAAGAAATTATAAAAAAAAAGAAAACAGTGTGTTACAAAGTAATAGTACCTGTAGCAATAAAAATAAGACAATACAACACCGTTAATGAGATAATGAGAAAGGTTATTTGTATCCAGGAACGGTGGTGCGATAAAAGTATGCACTGATGAGCCTTGTGAGGGCCTCATAGGCGTCTTTATTGTCCAGGATACCGTGGGATTCATTGGGCCAGCGGTATCCGTGCGCCTCCATAGAGGACCTCAGAAAGTGCCTTTCGTGATCCAACATAGGACAGTTGAAGATATAATGATCCGAGCTGTCGTCCACACCACAAAGAGGACAATCAGAGTTTGCAGCTCCGATAAATCTGGCCAGGTAAGACTGGAACCTGCCATGATTTGTTAAAAATTGAGACATACGATGACATGGTTTGTACCAATTGTTTGAGAGAAATAGTTCAATATTGGGAATAAATTTGTGAGTAATTGGATGGTTAAGCGTGTTCCAATCATGTTGCCACTGCTGAAGTAGGTCTTTCCAAAGCATATTCTTGATAGTTTTAATGGTAGGGCTATTATAGCAGATCCGGAGATTGTCGTCTTCACTGGCAGTCTTTGCAAGTATGTCGGCCCTCTCATTACCAAGTGTGCCCTGATGGGCACGAGTCCAGCTGACGTGATAGATATTATTGGAATTGTTAATGATGTCGTGGATACTAGCTGAGATAGGGTGAGAAGCTTGACTATTGAGCAAGGCTATAGAGGATTGACTGTCTGAGATGATGGACACTTTAGTATTGGTATAATTTGAGTCAGACCAGGCAATGGCCATTTTGATTGCATACATTTCAGCCTGAAAGGCTGTGCAGCCGGCACCAAGCTTGAACTGCCCTGAGGCAGTCTCCACATTGTCCCGGTAGACCACATAGCTACTGCCCACATTAGAATTGGTCTTAGATCCATCTGTAAAGATTTGAATATCAGCATCATCAGGTCGCGAGAAGTTTAGTTTCTTAAGAGAAGCAGGGTGTTTAGTATCAGCGAATTGGACTGGTCGTTCTAACTCTTGACGATGTATTTGTTGATTATTGACATGGATGGTGTTGCCCCACTTTAACTGCCAGATTTTCTCTTGTAGTCGGATGTAACTGTCAATAGGTGCCTTCCTCGCAAGGATTTGAAGAGAAGGGTTTGGGGTTGTGGAGTAAGCTTTGGTAATATGCATTAAGGCAGTTCTTTGTGCAGCAATAAGTTTGCGCTTGATGTGCACCTTGCGAACAGCCCACCCCCAGCTGCCGCAGGCGTATGTGATGATTGGGACAAAGATCTGGTTGTATATGGTATCCATGGCTTCCGAGTTCAATCCCCAACGTTGCCTTGCAATGACAGCAAAAGTATGAAAAATCCTGCCAGTCCGTGCGGTGATATACTCAGTATGGGCGTTCCAGAGCAGCCTGTGATCCAGAACCACACCCAGGTACTTAATGTTCTTGTCTACAGGAATTGTTTGTCCAGCCATTTTAATTGTGGGAACACGCAAATAGAGATTTCTGTTTCCGGGTTTATTGAACACAACGCACTTGGTTTTTCGGGCATTAAATTCCAGTTTGTACTCTTTCCCCCATTTTAGTATTTTGTCCAGGATATTATTGCCATTCTTTTCTAAGGCTGCTCTAGAGCTGCCTCCAAGAAGGACCAGGGCATCGTCAGCATAGGCCACGATGCAATGCTGTCCAAAGTCTTGAACAAAAAAGTCATTAAAAATCACATTCCAAAGAATCGGTCCACATACAGAACCCTGAGGGCAGCCGCGGACGATTTTTCGTCGAATGATGTGTCCTCCACATTGAAGAGTAGCCGTTCTGTCTTTTAAATAATCACGTAGTAGATTATATATATTTGCCGGGCAGTTCATATTTCTGAGGTTTTGAAGGATCATTGGCCACCAGGCACTGTCANTATAAAAAAAAAAGAAAACAGTGTGTTACAAAGTAATAGTACCTGTAGCAATAAAAATAAGACAATACAACACCGTTAATGAGATAATGAGAAAGGTTATTTGTATCCAGGAACGGTGGTGCGATAAAAGTATGCACTGATGAGCCTTGTGAGGGCCTCATAGGCGTCTTTATTGTCCAGGATACCGTGGGATTCATTGGGCCAGCGGTATCCGTGCGCCTCCATAGAGGACCTCAGAAAGTGCCTTTCGTGATCCAACATAGGACAGTTGAAGATATAATGATCCGAGCTGTCGTCCACACCACAAAGAGGACAATCAGAGTTTGCAGCTCCGATAAATCTGGCCAGGTAAGACTGGAACCTGCCATGATTTGTTAAAAATTGAGACATACGATGACATGGTTTGTACCAATTGTTTGAGAGAAATAGTTCAATATTGGGAATAAATTTGTGAGTAATTGGATGGTTAAGCGTGTTCCAATCATGTTGCCACTGCTGAAGTAGGTCTTTCCAAAGCATATTCTTGATAGTTTTAATGGTAGGGCTATTATAGCAGATCCGGAGATTGTCGTCTTCACTGGCAGTCTTTGCAAGTATGTCGGCCCTCTCATTACCAAGTGTGCCCTGATGGGCACGAGTCCAGCTGACGTGATAGATATTATTGGAATTGTTAATGATGTCGTGGATACTAGCTGAGATAGGGTGAGAAGCTTGACTATTGAGCAAGGCTATAGAGGATTGACTGTCTGAGATGATGGACACTTTAGTATTGGTATAATTTGAGTCAGACCAGGCAATGGCCATTTTGATTGCATACATTTCAGCCTGAAAGGCTGTGCAGCCGGCACCAAGCTTGAACTGCCCTGAGGCAGTCTCCACATTGTCCCGGTAGACCACATAGCTACTGCCCACATTAGAATTGGTCTTAGATCCATCTGTAAAGATTTGAATATCAGCATCATCAGGTCGCGAGAAGTTTAGTTTCTTAAGAGAAGCAGGGTGTTTAGTATCAGCGAATTGGACTGGTCGTTCTAACTCTAAAGTCCGCACATGCGATCGTTCGCGTAAAGAAAATTAACGGCCAATCTGGTTTCCATGTTTGTCCTTAAGACACAGTGGTATCATCCTGACAGGGCGCCAAAGAGGTGCCGACCTTGTGGTCACATACAGTATAATCAAGAAGACTCAAGCAGCTAAAGGAGTAGGCTAACAGAAGCACTTCTGAGAAATAAAGAATATCGAAGAGCTCATAATGGAACCTGAAACAGATCTGACAACAGAAGAATGCCAGAACTCTTGAATGAAGAACACCAAGAAAGTCGGTGAGATATGTTTTATTATGAAAAAGAGGATTAACGCTGATATTTGCTATTAATTAAAGATCTTTTGAAGAAATGGGGATGTCAGATCAACGGTCTTAGAATGGCATGCAAACCAGGTTGAGGTTAATAGGCTTGGGATCTCTACAGTTACAATGCTATTAATTACTTATGAAAATCTGAAGATGAGAGAAAAGCAATTGACATTAGACAGATTCTTTAACCACTAGAAATGAAAAAAACATAAGTAATAACAATGCAAGACTGCTTATACCAGTATATGTATTTTTATTATTACATATAAATGAATGTAGTAAGAAAGTATATATTTTTTATTTTTTGTGGTCTCCAGAACGAATTAATCAAATTCCCATACAAACCTATGGTAAATTGATAATTGGTTAACAAACAATTCGGATAGCAAACAGTCTTGGAATGGATTATGTTCGTTAACCAATCACCCACTGTATTCAAAATAATCCAGAAATTTGGATACAAACAATATTTATAAGATTATACTTTAATACAGATGTGCAATGAAGAATAATTTTATTCCTGAAATACATTCATGTGTGAAAACTTTTAACACTTACAAGGGAACTGTCGGAGTGTCTTCTAATAAATTTTAATAAAATTTAGTTAATAACTATGTTAAAAGTATACAAACTCTATTTTAAATTTGTAGCATTCACTAAAAGTGTTGATCAGAGTTATTAGCAATCAAATGTTGCACTACTTTATAGTAGTTTAACACAATTATGCAAATTTTTAGAAGTGAAAGAGTCGTGGAGGAAGACGGCGATATTACATATAGAATAAATTCTGGAATTTTCAAAAATGGTTGAAGAATTAATAAAATTTAGTTAATAATTATGTTAAAAGTATACAAAATTTTATTAATTCTTCAACCATTTTTGAAAATTCCAGAATTTATTCTAAATGTAATATCGCCGTCTTCCTCCGCGACCCTTTCACTTCTAAAAATTTGCATAA